GGAGCAAGCCGAGGGTTTCCGGAAAGTGCCGAGCAATTCCGGAAAGAGCCGAAAGGCGGGGCAGGGTGGCGGAGGGCGGTTGTGTCCCCTCAGCAATGGCGGGGCTGTGGGCCTCAGGGCGTCCCCTCACCGAGCAGCCTCGGACACCGAAACAAATACAAGATTCCATCGGGAATCAGTGCAAATAGCATGGCGGCAGCTGCGGCTTCTGCCCCCTTCTCCTCAGCCAGGAAGGCCCGAGCTGCTGCGGCTCCAGAGCGCAGAGGACGTGTGACAGGATTTATAATTCAAATCAACACGCCAGACTCAAAGCAGCAGCCTCATTAGTTTTACATTATTAAAAATAGGTCTTTTTGAAGCAGAATGCAGTGTGACAATCACAAAGAAGCCCAGCAAGGACAGAGCATCAAAAGGCTGCAAACGCTTGTCAGGATAAAGCTATATTTTTGAAAAGCTGATGCATAAATTCAAAAGAAAACATCTAGTTTATACTAAACTAATTTAAAATAGACACGGCAAAGAAATTCTACTCTCACCTCTCTCTAACTTATTTATATTTCTTAAGAGGGGCCGATAAGGCAGCAAGAACCTTAAGGGATCAAAGCAGTGAGTGGGTTTGAGTGATTTTTTTGAGTTCATAACACTCTCTTTTCTAAAAAAGTACTTAAATGGAAAAAGCACGCTTGCAGTGACATAGCATCACAACCCGTGGGACTGCCTGGAACGATTGTCTCCAAGGAAGAGTATGACTCACGGCAATTTTAATGCATGGCGTCCTGAATACACAGTATTCTCACATCTGAGATGCTCTCCTTTGTCATATTTGATATGAATATGCATATCAAAATACCATGAATACATGCATAAGGACCTTATTTGCACTGCATCTTCATAACACCAAATGGCTAACATCCAAAACTGCTAAAATTACAAAAACCAGAATTGCATAATACAAGTCAATCATCAGTTCAAGCAGCAGATGGAAATGGAAGCTACATCTAAAAATAAATATTGATTTATTATGATTCTTTTTAAGTGCACTCATTAGTCAATTATAAATTCTTATTAATGTTTTTCAAATAGTATATAAATTTCTGGAAGTCCTTACTGAGGCAGAAAAGCATATAATGTTTATTTATAAGAACATGGACTTACATTCCTCTCCAAAAAATGTTAGAAAACCCTAGTACCTGCAACCAAAAAAAGAGGAAATCTCTTTGTCTTGTATGTACCATCAAATCACTCCTTGTGTTTCAGCACAGGCTGACAACTGTGTCTAACAGACCTTACCAATTACCATCTTGGCAAAGTGAGTCTCCAACATAATTGTAGATACGCAAGATGTAATTAAAACAACTCCACTCAGTATAAAAAAACCCCTGAACATTTTCAATTATACTAATGAAAGTTGTATATTGCATCAGTATTATCGGGTAAAAGGATAGTGGAAGGAGATTTCCAGCATCCCAGAACAATCACCAGTCACACCAGTCTAAAGAACTACACAGGCAGTTTACAAAATATATTCACCAAATACAAATTTATTTACTAGTCGATTTTAAAGTCAAGATTAAAGGTTTTAAAGGCCTGAATTCTAAAGCACATTTTACAACCTTTTCTCAGAATATATATTAAAATCAAATTCAGACTCTCATACGGCCTCAACTCCGCTTTCTACAGCTTCAATTTATGACGCCTCTAGGAATAACAAAAACCAATCTGGTAAAAATAATAATTTTCACTTGGAACAGTGCATTACAAAAATAAGGCACTACTTTCTAGAACTCAGAAGCAAATTTTCTCATCTTAGAGGCCACCAAAATAGTTCAAGGACAATGCACCACAGATCAGACAAATCTCCCATCACTCTGATCTCCCCCACTATCTATCTCCTGTATTCACCCAGGAGCTGTCTATTTTCTTGACAGTCCCTCTTCCACAGAAAAAACCAAACTGCATCATCTTCAAATTAAAAAGGAAAAAATCAAATTTAATATTAAACAGATTACTCGAATGAACTATTCTCAGAATAATCCACCACTAGTACAAAAGTATTACAGTACCTGATACATAAAATACCACCATAACTTTGATCAGAAATCCATTTACATAAAAAAAGTCCTTATAAAACGCACCTTAGGTAAACCAAACACACCAGTTCCCCCTCAAATGATGTCAGAACATCAGCAAAAGTGCCAGAATGAATGCATATTTTGCTGCTTTTTTTATTTTATTTTATTTTTTTTTAATAAGAAAATGGATTATTAGCTTCCATCCATCTGATGGATAACGGACACAGAATTTCTGTAGTTTCAGGAACTCTGCTTTTCCCCCATGAAGTTACTATTATCCATGCAAACCTTTTAAAACAGTGAGTCGACCTCTCTTAAATCGAGAGTCCTGACTCTTGGAGAGAAATTACATTCAACAGAGTAAGTGTCAGCCCTGCCAGGCCAAACGCCTTTAGAAATCTCACTGTTTTAAGGTGTGGTTGAGACAAACAAGATGCAAGTACATCAGCAACATTAAAATTGAATTATAAAAAGACAGATGTAATAAATACAAAAATAAAGTTCTAGTAGTAAATTTCTGAGATTGATCACTCTGCTAAGATTTCATAAAGCTGTGAGGTATGTTCACTTCCACGAACAGAACAGCACTGTGCAAATTTTCAATCCAAGAGTCTTTAATCTCGGAAAGCAAGAGGTCATCAGGATACTATATTTAAAACATCTTCCACATGCTTCAACATATGAGGGAAAAGTCTCCAATTTTCCATAATTTACTATACAAAAACTTATAAAAATCCAAAGCAAAGAAAAACTTTGAATTATTTGCAACAAATTAAACACAAGTTTGTTCTGCTCAGCATAAATCCTGATGAATTAAACATTAACAGGTTGATGGAATATTTCCTCCCCATGCCTCTATATACAAAATATATTTATTTTGCCTTTACATGTAAACAGGAAGCCAGGTCTGAAAGCACTGACATCCAGGGGGAAAGGAATATAAACAGATTTACGATCTCCAAAAGGAAGACTGCAGAGCTCCCTTTGGTAATGGAATTTCCTTCTGCTGTAGACATTCCTAGTGAAGAGAGAAAGACAAAGAACAAAGGAAAAATAATCTCATCTCCGGAATTTTGATGGCTCTTACTGCACACAACCCCCTATGTACCAAAATTAATTTTGAAATGAAAGTACAAACTCTGAAGCAAACATATTTTATTATCATAATCTAAGTCAACATTCACAAAACAATTTAAATAATAAATTTACTTAAAGTCTTAAATGTATTTAATTTAATAAAATTTATTTAAAGTATATAAATGTATTATTTATTATTATTTTAATAACTTACATTTACTTTAAGTATTTTACCGTTTTACAAGCTTTCTTAAAAAAGAAAAGATGCAGAATACAATGCTAAACAAATGCTAAAGAGAGCAGTTCAGAGTGTCTGCTTCCTCATGTATCTGATCAGGACAACAGATAAAAACAAGCAAACTACTGATAAAAAAATAGCTGTTACAGAAATGACTCAGCAGAATCCTCCTTAACCTGTACATCTTCCCTCACTGCAACTTCCTCTATATGCAAAATACATTTTCACGGAGAAAAAAATTGATGTGAAGTAAAAAAGAAGTGCTGTGTTTGACATCATAAGTATCATTAATGTAATTGAGTAACTGAAAGTTATAAAAGATGGTTTACATCATAGTGACAGGTCTGGACTATGAGCTATGCTGCAAGCAGCACCAGCCTCGTTATTAAAATTATGTGTATATTGAATGAAGAGGAAAAAAACCCAAAACCCAAACACGTGAAAACTGAAAAAACAAAACCACTGCTTTACCTCCAAGAATTGCTTGAAACGCATTAACGAGCCCATCTGTCCAGAGCTGGTAATTGCTTCAATTCTGCAGAAATAACAGCATGTTTCAAAATCTACTTAGAAAGTTGGGTTTGATTTATGAGTGGGTGGGGGGGTGAATGGCAGAGATGGGAATAAAGATGGGACGAATCATTAAAGAGCAAACACTCAGAGAGTAAAAAAACAAGGATGATTTCACATTCCTAACCACAGGTATCATACCTTGGGAAATAGTCTTCTCGGATAAGCAACATCATTTTCCAGAACTGAACCTGATACTGTTTCATGAGAGCATTGCCACACACCTACAGGACAGAAATCCACAAAGACCAGCTTCCAGAACAGGGTTTCGGACTAGCATGACAACTTCAATGAACCTGTTCAATATCAACCACTTAATATTTAGATCCTTTTAATTACCAGCAATCCAAATCGTTTACCTCCAGAAAATCAAAAAGAAGTGTAGCTGTCACATCTGCCAGAGGCTCCATGTTCAACATCTGAGCAAGCCAGCGCCATCCATAGTTCAGCCCATGAGGATGTGCCTATAAAGCAACCAAAAAGCTACCCACCACTTGTTTTACAACTTACAAAATGCTATTATTAAACCAGGCAGTTTTCTGATTTGCTTTCTTCTTTATAAAGTTATTTTACAACAACCTAACATAAAACTTGATCATTATGAGAATAAGAAGTAGTAAAGGTCTACCGTACAAATTTGCAGTGTTTTGTTGATGATGGTTATGACCATCTCCTTTCAAATATATCATGAGCTGGTTTAAGTTCAGCACACCTTAACTACAAATCAAGTTCACATTTAATTGACACTTGGGATAGTAACAAGGTTCTAATTACAATGCCATACACACATACCCCTTGTTTGTTTCCATAAGGCCACCGGAGCTGAATAATAGCAGCATAAAGACGAATCATTCCTGACATCCGTTTAAGAAAGTGATCTTGCTCTTCTATCTTGGAATCCTTAACTTGATATCCAAGCATCCTAAGTATGAGGAGACGTTCCAGTATTAGTACAGCAAAACACATTCACTGGAGTCCCTGCAGTTCTCAGCTTACTTTAAGTCAACTGTACTGAGAAGAGGGATACTCCAAAACCATACAAGAATTAATGCAAAGGCTGATTGTTACCCTCTGGATCATACATCCCACTATTTTATACCATGTAGAACATTTAGGTTCTGTACTGGATATCTCAACTTGAATCAAGCTATGGCTATCAACTGTTTTTGAGAAGGGTGAGGAAAAAGAAGCAAAAGAGCACTTCCAAGGCTGAAGGACACTGCATCCTCCAGGAAAACTTGGAGGAGCTAAGGGGAGCTGCACACTTGTGAGTGAATCTCCAGAGTCTGAGCCAGCACCTCACTGTGCCTACATAATCAGAGATGGGGAAAAGTGGAGTTCACTCAGAAGAATACAGTCTTCACCCTTGCAGGATTCTTGCTGAAGAAGTCCAGTAATAAATTTACCTTTGATACTCTTCCATAGAAGTCCCCTCTTTCAATGCAGGGTAAAATGGCACAGAATAGGGGCACTTTTTGTGCAGATGAGCTAAAAAGAGGTCTCCAACTCGAGGGTGTATTTCCCAGATTCCTGAGGCCACCACAGCAATTGGGAAAGCTGCATCACGGTGAGAAGCTACTTCTTCTTCTCCTTGATTCTGGAGAGAGAGAGGGAAGGAAGGAAAGTTACTCCCCACCCTTTTTTAAAAATCCAAAAAGCACCTTCTCTAATCAATATGAGCATTAATACACGCAAGCTAAACACCTCGTAATAGTGTTCTTAGTATCCGAGGACAGTGTCTGGAAGAACTTGTGAAAGCACCAGCTACCTTTGCCACCCCAATGAAGAGAACATCTCCTCACCACAAATTTCTCCGCAAGCTTGTAATAAACAAAATCCAGAGCCTGTGGATGCTGCGTCACTGATACCGTTCGCCCTCCACTCTGAACAGACTTTCCAGAGAGCAGGTTATTGATCTTGTCAAATATCTCCCTCAGCTGAGAGCCTGCAAATGTATAAGGAACGTATGGAGACAGATTAGGAAAGAGCCGACAAGTCGTAACCAGATGCCATCAACTTCACATAAACCAGCCCTACATCCTGAAGGGCAAGGCACCTCAAACTGCATGTTTGCTACATCTGATTAAAGGAACTTAATCATGATGAAGCAAGATGCCTCCGAGGGAAGCAACACACCTTCAAAACATAAGCAAACACTGCGCTGCAAAGACTTGGACTGTATGCATACCAGCTTCTGCTGTAGGGATAATTATAGAAACACTGGATATCTTCTGTCCTACTACAATCTCTACAGCAAAAGGCATTTCAGTTGGATTGGGTTCTTGGTGTTTTTCTGACCTGCTATTCGAGAGATCTGGCTCACAGGGATCGTAGCTGCTTTCTGCAAGTCTGTTTTTATTTTCTTAACCTGCAGAACAAATAAACAACTTGAAAAACCTTTACATGCAAGTAAACTACTATGATAGCTTGGAAGAGCAGACTGTTAACAGAGGCTGCTACGTCAGAAATTCATTTTTTATTTATGTTTTTAAATGAAAACTGTCCTATTTACCCTAGAAATTAAGATAATCACTCTCCAGCAGTATTAATCATTTGTTCATACCTCAATATTGTCTTTGCAGTTGCTGATTCCACTGAAAGAAGCAACGCACTGCTCAGCAGTATCTTGAAGCTGCTGGTACCACTGCATGGTACTCTCCTCTGCCTTAACCTGAAGTCCTGTTTTTTTGTTTTTAATAAAAAAAAGCAGAAGACTAAGAAAGACCCAAAACTCTAGAAAACTTTAAGAAAACCTTTTTTAAAAAAATTGCAAGGAACTAACAGCTGCACGGGTGCTTTTTTCCCAGAATTTAGTTTATAAAGTTATGTTCATAAATTAATTTCAAGTTTGCAAGCTATACAGGAGTCCTCCTTTTTCATATATAGTGGCTTAAATATGCAGGGTATCAGCTCTTAACTTACTCTCAAGAAGGAAACCATTTCAGTGGTCTGTCCTTGTATGTTTTGTCATACCACACATGACCAATCTACACTTGCAAGATGTTATTCTCTAATATTCCAATATATGACACTCTCTAGGAAGAGCAGGTTTTGCTCTAGTTATTACAGTCAATTTATGCTGCATCAGTTTCATTTCAAGTTTGCTGCCAGCAGTCCTGCACCCACCTTGCTAGTTGTGCTAAAAGCAAAGGCTATGAGAAGGTAAGTCATCACAACAATAAGATTCCAAAGTAGTATTTAGCCTGACAGTAAAAGAGTGTGTAAGGAGGGAAACAAGGGGAAAAAAGGGGAAAAAAACAAAGCCTAACCAACCTTCTTTCTGCTGCTTTCCCCCCAATTGCTGGGCAGGGGCAGGAGCCTGAGCCTTCATCTGCTGTTTTTCCAGTAACTGTTTCTGCTTCTGTTTCTCTTCCTCTTCATCTCTCCTCCTTTTTTCTTCCACAGCTGCAGCAATTTCTTGTTGCATGCTGGCTATCAGTCCTCGCATCTCCTGCAGTGCTCGTTCAGTATTGGCCACATCTACTTGAGTAGGGAAACCTCTCTGTCAAGAAAGAGAAGGTAATATAGCATCAGTCTTTTGTTCCACTGTCCACAGACCAACAGCAAGAGCAAGGAGCCTTTGAAGCATTAGCCTTCAGGTAATTTGGGAGCCAAGAACACATTTTATCCTTTTTAGTGAAAATACCTTTTCTCCTTTATTTGTACATAACATTTGTAAGCAGTGTTAGGCCACGACTAGATCTCACAAGATCTTGGATGACAAAAATTAATAACACACTTTGACAAGTATAAATGAACCCCAATGCAAAGCCTAGATGGCTTCCTCTGCAGAAAGCCAGCTGTGACAAGCTGGAACAGAGAATTAGCCTTATCATAGTGGTTTATTTTTCACGGTTTGTATCCCACCTTTACACACAGAAAAAAACTTTCAAGGATACCTAGTTACCGCAAAAAGGCTTATAAGTATAGGACAATCATAATGTGTTCAGTATTTAACAATTTATGAACTACTCCACTTCCATGGTTGTCTCAAAAAGGAACTTTACAGCATCAAGAGTTTCGTATTTTAATATTTAAACTCTCTTCTGTAGAAATCATCATGCATTTTTTATAAGCCATTTTCAAGAAAACAGCTTAAGTGCCACAAAAAGGATTCTCCTTTGAAAATAGATGCTTTATAGGAAAAATATCTAAAAACATTTCTGTGACATCTTATTTAACGGCCTCATAACGAGCTGCCTTTGAAGACAACTACAGGAAGCTTTATGAAGGAATCATAACCAAAGTTAAGAACAACTCTAGAGCCTCTACCTCACTTGTGGTGCGGATGAGTCCTGACACCAGCCCACAGATCTGGTTGCCACGATTACTGTACGCAGAAAGATCGATTCTTGGCAAGTCTTTGTGTCTATAATTGGGATCAATCTGCTGGTTAAGCTGTAGCACTTCCTCCTGGATGGAATAAAGGCGACGCAATCTTTCCTGGCCCTCTTCCTTACGCAAACGCTCCAGCTCTTCCTGACGCTGCCTCTGCTGCTCTGCCTCACGCAGCTTTAGGTTTAATACCTGGGGAGAGAAAGACACAGGAGACACAAAGTACTTAAATAACTCCAGCTTTGCAGGTGCTTCCTGCTCCTACAACACGTGTCTTTACTGCATTCCCACAACAGTGCAGCACGTGTCTAGTACAGCACCAAAAATACATTCTCACTCCAGGGGTGCCACGTAAATACAAATAAATCAATTGGTCTTTCCAGTTCCCACTGAGCAGTCGTGGTCTTTTATGAAAGAGAGTTCTTACAAGTCTTCAGACCTTTGCTCTGTGTCGGTGCTCTTCCTTCAACTTCTCTTGCTGTCCCTGAGCCTCCTTTGAACTGCAATACACATACAGACAGAAAAACTGTATTCAAGATATGAACAAGAAAAAAATACAAACAAACACACAGCAAGTTACTTTTAAAACAAGTCAAGTTAAAGGAACTTTAACTGTCACAAATAGTCTTTTTCTTTTTTTTTTAAACCTTAATAGTAGCCAGAGATCTACTCTGAAATACAAACAATAAGAATTAATGTAAGAAAAGCAGCAGATGAGATTTTCAAGCACACGTGACTGATGAGTATGTAATTATCAGGCACAAGAATTAATCCTCACTTTGATTAAATGCTGTAATATTTTAAGGATAGCAAATACCAGAGTTAATCTCACCTCTTCTCCATTACTTCTTGCAAATCTTGGAATTCCTGATGCTGCTTTAGCTCCTTCAGTTCATCAAAGCGCTTCAGTTGTTCACTTGCCAGGTCATACACTGCCCTCACCATCTGCTCTTGCTGCTCCTGCCGCTGCCTTAGGCCCTCCTGCAGATCACAGAGGTGCCAGAAGCACCACAATGTAGTCATCATCAGAATGTGGACACAAGCAAATACAGATTATATTGCCCACAAACATGGTCCACCTGGGATTATCCTAAACCTCAGTCTGTAACGTTTAGGATATTTTACTGTCCCACTACTTTTACCAGAGCACTGTTACATCTGGTTACGCAGCTCTCCTGTGATTCACATACACACTCAACAGGTTTGTTTGTTTGGTTGGTTTTTATTTCTTTGTTTGGGGGTTTTGGGGGTTTTTTTTGTTTTGGTTTTGTTTTTACCTTTCCTTTCAAGCTGTGCATCTCTTCATACATCTGAATGCAACCTTCAACTTCTGTAACTTTAGATGGCAGAAGTGCTGGGAAGACTTCTTGATCCATTTCCAGCTGACTATGATCTTCATTTCCCTGCATGGTCAGCATATAAACAAAAGCAATGACTGAGTAGAGTATCAGCAACTTGTGGAAGAAACCAAGTAAATCAAGTCTCCTAAACTGCACATTATTTGTAGAGAAACAGGCAAAGGAGTCAACAATGCACAACTTTTTAGAGTAGTTATTACCCCAGTAGTGTAGCCTCACCATTTAGATTATCCCTCCAGCATGTATATGAGATTGGGATAAATACTCTTCCTAATCACTAAAAATGGGAGCAGAGATATCAAGAGCTCATAGGACATTCCCAAAGGCGAACTGTCACCTAGAAGGGCTAGACAGACACCTCACGTTCTCGCTACTTTCAGTGAAGATGTTACACTGGAAGAAGCCAAGATAGGTTTATACTTTGGATTGGTCTTCAGGAGGAGTCTTCAGAATCTCTCTTTTATCACATCTTGCTGCTTCATTAAGATGCTTTGCTCACAATACATTTCTTCAGTCTAAACAGGGACAAGATGATGCAAAACTTTGCTGCTCAGTATTATCGTTATGTGGTGAAGTCACCATGTAACACACAGCAACGGACACTTGTTTTCAGGTGCTTCATCAACTTCATTACCTTCACAACTCAACTGCTCATTGCCCAGCTGCCGACCCTTTTGCCTTGTAAAAGGGAGCCACGACACATCTAAGTCAGCCAAAGGCTCCAGAGAACCCCAAGGGGTACTCATAGACTTTTACAACAGGCCTGACCTACCTCTGTGACCTCATCCCTCTAAATGGATGAATCTCACGCTGCTACTCCATACACCTGTACAGCTCCAATTACATTTTCCTTAGTTATGGTGAAAAAGGGAGTTTAATTTTAGCCTACTATGAAACATTATTCTATTAAAATCTTGTTAATACCATTTTTGTCATCACCTGTTTCTCCTACCAAAAGTTAAAACCAAGTATGTTTTTCCCCACACATTAACAGAGCACAAACCAACCTTTATCAGACAATTTATGGCAGCAAGTCAGCACGTTTATTCTCCCAGCTGCTCACATATTGATTATAATCAGAAAGCTACCTTTGATTCACTTGGCTCTGTAGAGGAAAGCGGTGGAGAGCCATGGTGGCTAGCAGACACAATCTTCTCTGGAGTAGATGACAGGTTTGTGAGGGGAATGGATTCTTTAGGTGATGAACTTCTGGAGGGTGTGATTTCTGGGGCTGATTGCCCAATCACTCTGTCTAGGACCCAGCCAGAATAAGAGGACAGCACAAGAGGGGACATGCATCCTTCCAAGATATCCTAGAGAGAAAACGTTTTCTGTGAATGTGAGACATTATCAAGAAAGCAATGAAACATTAACAAGCATTTGCGCAGCTCAGCAGGCACAGCTCAGTACCTCATCTCTCTGTCTCTTCTGCTTGTCTTTCCAACACTTTTTCTGGGCTTCCCTATTTTTCTACACTTTTTCTCCCCTACTTTTGCAGGTCAGTAGGACCACCACGTTTGAGCCTTCTCCCATAACATCTCCTCCCCAAACCCTGCACTGCTTGGCCAGTATGAAGGAGCC